AGATAGATAGATAGATAGATAGATAGATAGATAGATAGATAGATAGATAGACAGACAGACAGACAGACAGACAGACAGACAGACAGACAGATAGATGATAGACTGACAGACAGACAGACAGGCTTCTGCCCTCACTACCATGTTCCTATACCCTTTCTGATGCCTCGCTGGCTTTATTTATATATTTAGCTGACTGGGCTGGCACACAGTAGGATTTTTACAAATAGCATTTGATAGGTTGCCTGAGTACCCGCTGGAGGCCCTATGTGCCATCATCACAGCAAAGCTGGTGCTGGGAAGGCGTGTTCCCAGGACAGGACAGGCAGGCTCCTTCAGACAGGGTAAAACAGGCCGTCCTAAGGGACTGCGGCGATGCCTGGAGCGGCCTCTGCTGGCTGTGATTGGTATTGCAGGATGTAATGAGGCCCTGTGAGCCTATAGACCAGGGATGCTTTGGAGACCATGCCAGCCTGTGGTCCAGAAGAGGCAGGAGTCCTGCCTAAACTGGGACACTGGCGGGCAGCCCAGCTCCACAGCCTTTAGTGTCTTAGAACCCCTACTGTGTTATACTCTTACCTGTGAGCCGTGTGATCCCGTGGTCCGTGGCCCCTGACCAGATGAGATCGCCTAGGGTGGTGGGGTCTGCGGTGCCAGAATGCTAGCTTCTTAGACAACCAAGGCCAGGGACACAGATGCGGCTAGCAAGGACCTGCCAGGGCACACAGGGTAGCGTAACAGCCTCTTTGCTGAGGCCCTGCCAAGAGACTTAGAGGGTAAAAGGTGTTTGCGACCATGCTTGATGGCTTTGAATCCAACCCTGGGGTCTCACGTGATAGAAGAAGAGCACCTCTGAGCTCCACATTTGCACCATGGCAACACACACACTAAATAGATAGATAGATAGATAGATAGATAGATAGATAGATAGATAGATAGATATAAATAAATAAATAAATAAATAAATAAATAAATAAATAAATAAATAAATGAAGTAAGAGCAGCCCATCCACAGCCTTGGCATGGTGGTGCATGCCTATAATCTAGGACAGAGGCAGGGGAATCATGAGTTCAAGGCCAGCCTGGTCTTGTCTCAAAAACACGGGAGGAATTACGGCTTCAGAGAACACATACGGACTTGTCATTGTTCCCTAAACAACAGTCTAGCCACTGCTTGGGTAGCATTCACATAGCATTGGGTACTCCACCAATTACAGATGGTTTAAAGTTTGCCCTTCTTCCCCTCGGTACGTGCACAGGTTGAACATCAGCACACAGAGGTTACGTTGAAGAACTAGGGCTAGGGTTATGGCTAGCATGCACAGAGCCCTGCGTCCTACCCCTAACACTGTATAAACCAGGCACGATTGTACCTGTGGTCCTAGCCCTCGAGAAGTGAACACAGGAGGCTCAGAAGCTGAGGGTATCCTGAGCTACATACCAAGTTTGAGGCCAGCCTGGGCTACAGGAGATTTTGTTTCAAAGAGAAAACTAAGGTGCGAGGGGTTTTCACTGTTGAGCCTCATTGGTTTTGGCACCCACTTGGGTGGGTCCAAGAAGTAGTCTCCATGGGCACAAAGGGACCACTGTGCTCGAATACAAGACGTAAATGTAAGGTAAATGTCGGGGAAGATCCAGAACATTCACACACACACACACACACACACACACACACTCACTCACTTCCATTCACACAAAGTTTAGGTACCACCATTCTGACGCAAACGTCAGAACTGGGCTTCTCTAGAAGTGTACAACTGGAGCAGTGCCTTGAAGAGCTGGGTGGTGTCAACACAGCTGTGCGCACAGACAGAAAGCGCCAGCCCTTGGATTCTC